ATTCATAATTTGTCTGCTTTATTAGCAGCTTTTTGTATGCTTTGAGGATAGGGCAGGCCTGCGAAAAGGCGTTGTGATTGGTGTTATATTTTTGGTTACCCTGTTGCTCATTATTTGCTTTTACACAGTTTATACACGTTGGCCCATTTTGCTCATTCTCACAGTCCTTAAATTTGTGCTTTTTGGTACAGTGGCTGCACCTCTCCCTATGATCTCAATTGGCAGCCATATGCCCAAAACCTGTACAGCGATAACATCTGACTATAGGGACATAATCATCGGCCACTAGTGTACCCCATCCGTAGCTGACTCTTTTCATGGCTATGAGGATATTCTTTACTGCTGGGTGTACTGATAGTACTACGTGTCTATACCCGTTTTTTGTTATGGACGTTATTCCATGTGTTACTCTTATTTCTTGTTAGAATGCTTCTGGTGAGTATTTGCTATTTATTTCTTTGTTCTGTTCATATATTTTCCTTATGAGGTCCTCTTTACTTTCCTCTTTTGGGACATTTATTAGTATTATTCTAGGTTTCCTTCTTTTCAGCCTTGTCAGTTTAATTTTTTTCGTTTAGTTCTGGTAGTTTTTCTATTGCATCCTGCAAGCTCTTTGCGTCCCTCTCTGTTTTTACCCTAAACTTAATTCCATTGTCCGCAACTGCTGTTACTTGCCACATACTTATACCCAATCCTGCCGGGTCTATTTTTTCATTTATCATATTCATCAACTCTTTGGGGCATAAATTCTCCCCCTCTTCAGTTTCTGTTGGCATTATCACCAAATCCTGCGTCTTTTCCCCTTGTTGGCTTGCTGCAATGGTGTCTGTAATTATGTTCGTTGTGCGGCTACCTCTGCTGTTGGTAGCCCCCTTTTTTGCCACTTCAGCGTAGCTTTTAATATTTTTCCCCTCACCTTTTTTTGACCTTAGAGCTAGAACCATGCAATATATGCTATTAGCGGCAGCTTACATATCGAGCGCCGCTCTCCTTATGGCTTTGTGATTGTTTACAGAGACTGAACCATGGGAGTTTGCCGGTAATGCTTGCATGATTGTGTCCAATCCTTGAGTGATTGTCTCTAAAAAGTCCATCTCAGGGCGATCCATTGTCCAGTTCGTCGTGAAGGAGCACAGAAAAGTACAATTACAACTGACAATATAAAGTCGCGAAAAGCTTAGAACTAGTAATTAACAATTAAATTTATAACTAACAAATTTGCAGAATTATTACAAGTTGAATGATATTACTCACTAACTGATGCAACCCGCAATACCCAAAAAACAAGCCAAAATGCCCTCCAAATTAGGGTTGGGTAGAGCACCTGACCCGGCCACGTGGCGAGGTCAACGACCTTTGACTCCTTTGTGCAGCTTAGAAATGAGATCGCTCGTTAAATAAAAACTAACCGTTGTACACACTTGAAAATTTACGTACACATAGGAGATATACAGTTAAAAGAACTGGCTGAAGATTAGAAAGATCGGTGGCCCGAGGAGCCCACAGTGCGGCCCGATACACGAAAAGAAATGGTCGCAAAATCTCGTGAACGGCCAAACGGACACAAGAGCTTAATACACCGTTCGATACGGTATTTAAGCCCGAACAGAACCTAATACAGTAATTCCGTATACCGACAATAACAACCTGGAAGGAGACGGTGGAAAACCGGAAACTTCCGAAGCCCGTAACTTTTAAAATAATGGACCGATTCTAAAAATTTAAACACTAAAAGGAAGCTTACGTTTATCCGAATCGAATGGTATATCACAATCCGTGGATTGATGGATAATAACTCCAATGTCGCGATCCGAAGACAGAGCTGAGGCACACACACACCTAACAGTACCGCGACTCGTCGCCCTCTGTCTGCTATAGACATTCGGTATTAAAGGTTAGAAGGGCTGACCATTTAGCCAGGTCTTTACCCAAGTATTGAAGCGGAAAGAGAAAAAGAAAAGTGAAGAAGTTAGGAGGAAGAGGAAATTAGATTGAAAGGAAAGTGTGAAGGAAGTAACCAGGGGGCCCCTCATGAGACCCCACGGGCGTCCGCATCAGCATTTATTTAACCAAAAACATTTGTACATATATACAATAATTACAGAGATCGTACACAGAATTATGTGCTGATGAAAATCCAGCAATTTGCTGGTTAACAAGTCCGAATCGCGAGCGAGGATAGTTGCCTCGTAACAGTACAAAATAAGTCCATAACAGTGCAAGGAAACTGCCTTGCTTCCCAGTCACGTGTTACATTGACCATAGGAATGATAATGAAAACAGCAAACAAACCCAAGAACCACCAGTTACCAATGAGTGTTTATCGCGTATTGTTGAAAGAAGGGGTCAGCGCCCCGCTGTCCCGAACAAATTTTGTCAAGGCTTTAAATAAATTGTTATTGGATATAAGGTTCGATTCACCTGGTGGCCAGTTTAATCCTTCTTCGATACTTGTTTTTTCCAGGTCTATTCTTATGTTTTCGTACTTTTTACATTCAAAAAGAAAATGTTGAATCGTTTCTTTGTTATCCGGGTCCATTTCACATCGATCAGTGTCACTTTTTCGGAAATGATGCAGGTAAGAATTAAAAGCGCCGTGACCTGTAAGACATTGTGTCAATTTGAACGTTTGTTGGAATTTCTTGTTTTGTAATCTTCCTTTTATGGTTGGTAAAAGCTTGTAACAGAGCCGTCCAGTATGAGATTCCTCCCACTCCTGTTGCCATAGAATGTGAATCTTTTCCTTTATGTATTTGTAGATGTAACTGATGGGAAGTCTGTTGTATGTCATTTTCCCATTTGTAGTTGCTAGCTTCGCCAACTTGTCGGCGATCTCGTTCCCTTCGTACCCACTGTGTGCTGGTGTCCAGTTAAAGTTGATGTTCATCTTTTTCCCCATGTCATTTGCCATGGCGATTAGTTCTGCTGCTAATTTTGTCTTGGGTTCCATCCGGTTGAGGGTGTGCAAGGCAACTCTGCTGTCGGTATGAATCTGTAAGTTTTTAGCATTAGGGTGATGTGTGTTGACATAGGAGATCGCTTTAAGAATTGCCCATTGCTCCTCTTGAGTGATGGAACAATCCTCACCCAACTTTAGAGCTGCTTGATACAAAGTCCTATCTCCTTTTCTCACTATTATCCCAGATCCCACACCATTCTCATTACTTGATCCGTTAGTGTAAGCTGTGATCATTTGTGAGTTGTTGTTGCTAACCTTGTTAGTGAATTCCATGTCAATTTCATACAGACGAAGATTTCTGGGATCTTTAATTGAGTTTATGTTCTTGGATTCTATGTCTATTTCCGTTTTTAATATTTTCATAAGTTTTCCTGTTTGACTGGTGGTAATTTTTCACTCCTTTGAAGTTCTTCTATATTGCTTTCTGAAATTTCATTTTGTTTATTTATTATAAACCAGTTCCATATTATTTGCTTAGCCTTAAGATGGATAGGAGTGAGTCCTGATATAAGCAGTATGGCATCAGTCGGCGCTGTCCTATAAGATTTAGATATCCTTATTGCAGATTTTCTCTGAGTGGATAAAAGTTTTTTTTTAACATGTGTATTCCCCAGTGCCTCAAACCATGCCTGAACACCATACAGAATCGCCGGCTTGATTGCTTGGAGGTAGATCAATTTAGTATTCTTAGAATCAAGTCCCCAGGTATTTCTTGTAATACTGTACAGCAGATTGGATCTTTCAACCGCTTTGTTACAAGCATAGTTAATATGATAATGCCAATTTAAAGATCTGTCAATGAAAATTCCAAGATACTTTAAATATTGTACATTCCTTATATTGTTTCCATTGATTTTAATACCAATGGCTCTCTGAAGTTGGCTCCTTTTGTTTTTCCTGGTTAAAACAATCGCTTTACATTTGTGGTAATTAACCGGTTGTTTATACTTTTCGCTCCACTTACCTATTTTTTCAAGTTCTTTGTTTGCTATTTCTGCAATCCTGTCACAGTTCTTATGTGCTACCATCAATAGCGTGTCATCGGCATACGCTTGTATGCAAATATCTTCAGTGTTTTGAATTTGTTCCAATAAATCGTCCATTATGATGTTCCACATACCGGGTCCACATCTTGACCCCTGCGGGCACCCTTTTGTAATCTCCACTTCTATATTAGTGTTGTCAGTATAGAATCCTGCTGTTCTTGAAGAGAGGTAGCTTTTAGTTAAGTTCACTAAGTTATCAGGGCACCTAACCTTAATTAGCCGACTAATGAGTCCGGGCCACCATAAGTTATCGAACGCTTTGCGAAAGTCAATGCTAATAAGCATAGCATGCTGATTGCATTTCCATGCCCTATTAATGAAATCTTTTACTTGCAGAATGGCATGAGTTGTTGACGTTCCTGGTATAAACCCAAATTGGTTGTTATTAGTTCTGTTATTTCCTTTAAGTACCAGTTTATTCTATTAATAAGCAGCCCGTCCAAAACTTTTCCTAACATGGGAAGGAGGCTAATCGGTCGAAAATCTTCTGGGTTTTTTGCATTTTCTTTTTTAGGTATTAATTTGATACTTGCCTTTTTCCATTTTGTCGGAAAGAAGCCAGTTTTAAGACAACCATTATATAAATGTACAAAAGCTATTGGGATCTCGTTGAAAGCCGCTTGCACCATTTCCGCTGATATTTTGTCTATGCCAGGAGATTTTCTCTTTGCTAATGTTGAAACAGCTCTGTGAATTTCTTGAAATGTGAATAGATTGTTTTCCCTCTGAGTTGAATGGAGTGTTGCTTCATGTCTTTTTTCAGAGTGAAAGTCAGTGTCGTTTACTAAATCGTCAGTAGGGAAATGAAAATGAAGAATTTCCTTTATATTCTCTTGTATTTCAAGTATAGAGTTGTTATTGTTTGTGTTGATTATATTAGGAACATGGCATTTTTTCTTTTTTCCAAAGATAACCCTGTATGGAACATCCCAAGGGTTTTTCTTAAACTCTTTACTACAGAAGGTCTTCCAAGCCTCTGTGCATGATTTGTTTATCTATCTTTTATATATTTTTAATTCTTTTTTGTATTCTTCCTCATAGAAAGTTTTAAGATTATCATCAGTGGCTTTAATCATTTTCCTTCTAATCTTTCTGATCTTATGTTGTTGGGCAGTCAGGTCATCTGTCCACCAATTTGTTTTTATCTTATTAGTTTTAGTTATACTTGTCGATAATTTTTCAGCCTTTTGTAGTGATTCTGTGATATAATTAGCGTAGTGATTTATGTCCTCTTCGTTCTGAAATTCTGCAAAATTATAGTTCCTCCATGAGGCAGAAAAAATCTGGCAAAACAGTTCCCAGTTCGTTCTCCTAGTGAGACCACAATTGTTTTCAGCATTCTCGTCACTAATAATTTCAGCCAAGATATAGCGATGATCACTAGCTGAATCATCCAATAGGGTTTCACATAAAATAATTTTATTGCTTAATGTTGTTGGAGCCAGAAAAACGTTGCTCCAGCACTCCGCGTGTGCTGTAAAGAAGGTGGGATGATTAGTAGTATTGGCCGAGTATAGATCGTGGCTGTCCATGAAACTGCCCATAAGTTGTCCTCTGTTATCCTCTCTGATGTGGTGCAAACTAGGCGATTTGGCGTTAATGTCACCAACCAGAATGAAGTTCTTACTGTTGAGTTGTCTAGTAGTATCCTCTAACTCCCTAATGCAATCTTTGTCATTTTCATCAGGCGCAAAGTATGCTCTGATAATGTAGAGCTGTGGGTTTTTCTTAATCGCTGCAGTAGTAATCCTTTGCGTAGTTAAGCTTGGGACAAAAGCAATGTCAATTTTATCTGTGAGAACAATTATACCACATTTTGGTTTTGTATTATTAGTCATTACTCTCTAATTTTTGAATCTAATGATTTTTTCGTTAATTACATATGGTTCTTCTATAATTATGATGTCGATGTCTAATTCATTTGCTGTTTTAATTATTAAAGAACTTGCTGCTTTGCTGCGTTGTGCGTTGATTTGGAGAATTTTTATAGTATTTCTATTGTTAATTTGCGGATGTTTATTTGAGTTTTGCTGTGTTGGTTGATGATTTACATTATAAGCCATAGTCCGTCCTCATGATTATTGCTGTTTTCATTCTCTTAGTAATGGGGCAGTTAGGGTATAGTGCCCCATGGTTTGTTGGTTGTTTTTTGTTATTAGGGAGTGTTTTGTTTGCCATTTGACAATTTATACAGCATGGTGGTTCTGATTTCCTATTACAGTTTGCAAATTTGTGATCTTTTCCACAATGGCTACAGTGTTGTTCTTCCGAGCAGTTCTTCGCCATGTGTGCAAACCCACAGCATCTGTAACAGCAAAGCAGTGGAACAAAATCGTCTACTCTAATTGTAGCCCAGTTTACAGAGATGTTTCTTTTTTGTATGAAAATTTCCCTTATTTTTGGATTTGTTGTTATAACTACATGCCTGCAGTTCTCAGTCACCTTCCCTCTTGTTATAATTGTATTAATCTTGCATTCTTCCAGAAAAGATTCTTTGGTCGTGTTTTGCCAAGTCCCATTTTGGTCATAAATGTACGGTAGTATATTTTCTTCTTCTATCGATTGGGGGACATTCAGCAATATCACCTTTGGCTTTCGTCATTCTGAGCACTTGGTTGTGATTTTTTGTTGTATGTTAGGTATACTTTGGATCTCGGTTTCCAGTATTGAGCTTTCTTGTTTATTCCCCACTCTGATACAAATTCCATTGTTATTGGTTTTTCTTACTGCTAATATCTTGACTTTTAATCTATGAGGTTGTATTTGTGTCTTGATTTCGTTAAGGACTTCAGCCATATTTGTTAGAGAGTCTTCATTCTGCTCTTTGGGGTATAATATAACCGCATGTGATCCGTTGGTTCCTTCTTTCAATGTTTTTTGTTCTATAGATTGCTCTATATTCTTAGTTGTATTGCTTGGTTTTAGGTTTCGTTTGACAATATCGCTAAAAGTCGGCGTACTTACAGTGTGCACTGTTGTCTGCTTAGATGCTCTTATTTCCTTTAGGATTCCATACATTTCATTAATGTGACCATACATTTTAGCAATATACTCTCTAATTTCCATGCATTGGTTGATTCTGATTGTTGAGTCGGTATGTTCTGGACATAAATCCATAACTTTGCCAATTAGAATAGCTGCTTCTTTTATTAAAACATTTTCTATTGGTTTTTGATCATCATGTATTCTTTGCCCTCATATATTGATTGTCGAGAGAATCGATTGCTTTAGAGAATCTAGGAAACTAGATTCTCTAAAGGAATGAGAGCCACCCTTTGTTCTAATATCGACTCTTCCATATTTAATTAAAAACTTAATAATAAAATAGTTGGCCTAGAAGACGTGTTTTTGGAAAGAGGCCCAGTGCCTACGCAACACTGTGATACTGAGTTACCTCAATATCACAGCGTGAAAAGATAGTCTTATATTAAATTGTAATAATAAGTAATACAACTAAATTTATATTATAAGTAAGCTTAATAGTATAAGATTAGAACTAAATTCTTGCTGTGTCCCTTGTGGCAGCTTGAAAACGATTGTAGAAAAATGAAAACAAGATGCCAGATGTTTAATCCAGCTGATCCATTGTCCGTTACAAAATCCGTTGCTATCAACCGTTGTAGATGTTCAAATATCCAAGGTCAATGACAGTAAGCGTTAAGTTGGCTTAGTGGGGAAAATCTAAAGTTTTTAAAATTGCAATTATTTAAAAACTATTTAACTTAGCACTATGAAATTTGGACAGATGATCACCCTAATGGTCTTCTCACAAATGGCGTCACCAAAATTCGTGGATGGACAAAGCCCGGCCCGATGCGGGCCGATATGTTCTAGGATAAAAAGTTAAATAATTTCGTCAATTAAAGTTCAAAGTTCACCAAATTCTAACAGTATACTCACTGCTATAGTGTCCATTGATATCCGTCTTTAGTTCCGGAGAATCGGACCCAAAGTTTTCGCTTTTTAAGATGGATTATCCAAATTTCGGGTGGTTCTATTTTTAAAGTTTTGACGCCATCTGATTTGGCATTAAATCCTCATTCAAACGGTATATCACAAAGAACACTGTCACAAAAATCCACTGAGTTATCGCGAAATATTAAGGAGCCCAAATTGACTGCATGCACACCGACTTGCGACTCGACGCCCTCTTGTCTGCTATAGACATGTTACTAAAGAGATGAGAGGGCTGTCTGTTTTTTGCTACAGACTTAGCCCTACGGAAAAAGGAAAGAAGAGAAAGCAAGAGATGTGAAGTGTGAAAAATAGGGGGGATAGGAAAGTTGTGAAAGGTAGGCATGGGACCAGAGAGCGTCTGCACCGGGACTTTATTGAAAGACAATCAAATACAATACAAAATAACAAAAGTAACAAAAGGTTACAGAGATAATAGGATATACAATGTGCTGACCATTTGGTCGCAGAATCAGATTAAGATTTACATCATTAAAATGCTACTAAACATGAAAAACTTGATTAACAATAAAACAATTAACAAGGGGTAGCAAAATCCCACTCAGCTTGAGTGGGTGCGAGGGAGTATTAGACAGACTTTATTTTCCTGTCATTTCAAGTGTCCAGCTGTTGCCCCGCTCTTGAAGTCCTCTGAAGAATGACACCAGTATGACACAAGAATTAAAGAATGACCCCATAATCAATCCTGCCCCAGTGACGATACTGAAGACCAGGTGCAGTATGGTGGCATTGTCAGTATCGGGGTTTAATCTCAACAGAGGAGAAAGGAATTGATCATGGGTCATGAAACAATGCAGAAGTAAGCCAAAGCAGATATAAGAACAGAAGTTGTCAGGGATATTCCTTCTTTCCTTTTTGTCGGTCGAGTGTTGTCAATTCTTTTTTTTTTGTCTTAATGCCATCTTCTCGATGATTCCGTTGATTATTCCCATTAAAACACAATGAAGATGTTATCCTCCAATAAGCACAAGGAGTATCAGAGATCCTATTCTGCCTGAGTGGGAGTGATAATGAAGACAACAATCTCCATTAATTGTTGTCAGTTGTATCTGTCCAAGTACAGTGGAACCCTGGTTAACAAACATAATCCGTTCCACGAGTCTGTTCGTTAACCGAATTGTTCGTAAACCGAAGCAATTTTTCCCATAGAAATTAATGCAAATACAATTAATCCGTTCTAGCCGTCAGTATTTTTGTAATTTTATTTGTAAAATGAGTTTTCTTTAATGAAAATATAGGAAAAAGTGCTCATAAACAGTCAATCTAGGTTAAATTTTCGGAAAAGGGGAAAGATTTGATGGGTATAAAAACATCACATATGATTGTTAAAGTTTTAAAATGACAGATAGCAGAAACAATAGGCTAAATTATGAGCGAAAGGCTTATAGGTTTATCAACAATCTCTGATCAGAGTTGACGAACAGGTGTCAAATAAACGCCTCAGAACAAATTTTTCTCGTGACCTGATCTGGTTTCAGTTTTTACCTGGAGACAAAGAAGAAAACAATCGGGAAGTGAGGAATGGGACGCAGGACTAATCGTAAGGTGAGATTCAAGGAAGAAATACTATAAAAACCCGAATTTCAAGGTCAAAACGCAGTTTTCCTAAAAATTCTATGGCGATTAATCTGTCTCGTCTTCGTCTGGATTAAGCCTGAAGTCGTGCCTGCTAAAATTTGTGTTGTGTCTCGCGGACCGCTCCAGTTGTTGCAGCTCTGTCACCTACCATTGCTTCTGTGACCAAGCGAACCCATCTCGTCCGCTCTGGGGCTATGACTGATTAGCTTGCACTATCGTAGGACCAGCGATACGCCACTCCTCAGTGCCGAGAGAAAATACTGTAGATAAGCCATTTCCAACTACCTCAAATATGTAAGCATCTTCCCGTTCTAATAAACGATTTTCACTGTAAAATACTTGTCATCTTTGTCTCCTCCGCCACACCAACGTACGAATGGACCATCACCGACACACGATTAACTGATTTTCCCTAAAAGTCGGCAAGCTTACAAATTTAATACAAAAAGCCGTTAAGTTCGTTATCCGAGACAAAATTTTTCCATAATAAAAGTTCGTTAACCGGGGTTCCACTGTATGAGAGTTATTCAAAATACCAGTTCTATTTATAAATATTTTTACATCATTCCATAAGTTTTTATCTATAAAAATTTGTGGTGGGTTTGGAGGCCATCCAATATTATTCAATAGACAGTTTTGTATTGGTTCAAGTCTAAGATTATCATAATTTATGCAATGAAAAAGATAATGCATTGCATCCCCTACCTCGTTCCATGTGCATTTATTAGAATTCCTTTTACCAAATCTGAAAGATAAGCAGGAAAATTCCCATTTTTAGTTATTAACTGTGTAGAGTTTTTATCAGGAGAGTAATGTTATACCTTTTGTCTGTCGTCAATATTAGGGATGAATTTGTAGCAGTTTCTGCCTGTATCCTAGTTTTGCCATTCTTCTTGCCAGGTTTTATTGGCATATGCAATCAGTTGCTTTTTAACCACTGTTAATGGAATGTCAGTGAACTGGAAGTAATCTGATTTCCTGGCCCCTAGTTTTGCCAGTTTGTCGGCAGTTTCGTTCCCTTCGATACCTGTATGTGAATGGAGCCAGCCAAAGTAGATTGTTTTTTTTTTTTTTTCTCTAAGATCTGTGCAGAAGTTATTGTGCGACCAGCGAGGCGAGTAAGATTTTTGCGGTTATTTATAAGATGCAGAATCATTCTGCTATCCGTTAGTAATTTTATGGAGCCTTTAAAATTATCAATGTTATTGGTAATAAATTGCAGAGCAGTATAGACAGCCCATAGTTCAGTTTTTGAGTTTGTACAGTAAGGGGCTAGATGTTGGTA